AGGTAAAAATTTATATTCATGTAAATTTCACTACTGACATTAAATTAACCTTCTTGTCAATCTTTTGACGAATGCCAAAGCTTATACCATCTTGCCGTCCTCTTATTCCAAAACTTCTTTTAACTCCACCCTATTCAGAAGATTCCAAAAAAATGCATTTATTGTGTAGCTGAGGGTGTTATACTCATTTAAGTTGAATCGGTGGTGCATTTGTAGCGTAAAATTAACTACTCGCATTGAAGGATTGAAGTTGCAGGCGCTATGGTGATTGTTAGTGTAACTACAATTACAAAATTTCTTTAAAAGTTTGATGCTTTATAATTTTTAAAAATTAAATTGGACGTTATGTATTAACATGATTTTAGGGATGGGGGTCAAAGATTAATATATCCTCATTTATCATTCCGTTTACTTATCTATTTTTTCATATTATCTTATATTTTTCAAGTACGATTTTAAAAGGAAAAAAAGTAAGGAGTATTACAATATTGAATCATCTTGTTTAGATGACATTGAATGATAGGTCAAAATATGGATTTCATATCACTGCATTTAATGGACTTATCATTTAAATTAAAGTACAGGTTAAATCTTCAAGTCAATCCATTACAAACCCCTTTTAATAGTGTCCTGTAAAGTTATTTTAGTCCTTTTTTGAGCCTCATTCTTGTCAAAAATGCATTTTTGAATAATGTATTGATGAAAAATTTGTGGTTAAAAAATTAAGAAAAGTCTTGAATTTATGTGTAATATTATTTTATTGAATAATGTGTGGTTAAAGTGGAGTCAAATCACAATTAAAAATGTATTTTGATGAAAAAAATGAGGTTCAAACAAGGGCTTAAATTCATATAAAAGGCATTACAAATGTAAATGTGGGCAAAAATCTACTCACCAATTGCAGCAAGATTCAAGTGGAATCTTTGGCAACAAGGAAAGAAGGTCTTAACTAAATGCGTTTAATTAAATAAACTTCATTCGTAACTAGGGGTGGGCACGGATCGGTTCAGTTCGGTTCTAAAGAGAACCGAACCGAACCGAACTTTTCGGGTATTTAGTAAATGGAACCGTCGGATCCAAATATAATTATGGAACCGTTTGGGTTCGGTTCCGTTCGGTTCTGTACTATAATTAAATTTTTTAATACATATAACAACATTATATAAATACAACTATTGATACATTCAATGGTTTTTGAATGTCAAAGACTAGTAAACTAACTTGTTCAAATGATCGCTACGATCAAAGTTTTGGTCAGCGGAGGTCACAGCTTCAATCGGAAGTCACAATGTCGGCCGATCATTGTATAGGTTTTAGAATATTAGCGAGGCTGCAAAAGCGACTGCGAGAGTCGAGACAACGTTATGCACTTTAGTGTAGGTGTTTAGGGTTATTTAGTGGATTTGATCTTGTTTGGCTATGAAATGAAACAATAAAATGGGTAATTGGACCAAAAATTAAAAAATTAGAAATGAAACAAATTATTGGGCCAAAAATTTGGATT